CAGGTTCTCTGCTCAGCGGGGAGTCTGCTTCTTCCTCTGTCCCTCCCCCTCTCTCACTCTCGCTCTCAATAAATAAAATCTTAAAATACATATTTTATCTATTTAGAGAGAGAGAGCACATGCACAAGGGGTGGGGCAGAGGAGAGAGAGAGAGAGAAGCTCAAGCAGACTCCTCGCTGAGCACAGAGCCCAATGAGGGGCTCGATCTCATGACTTGAGATCATGACCTGAGCTGAAATCAAGAGTCAGACACTCAGCAAACTGAGCCACCCTGGTGCCTCTGAACCCCCACTTCTTATGTCCAAAACCAGCCATTTGGGTCTCCAGTATCTGGCCTATTAGACTCAGGAACCCCACAGTCCTCCGACATCCCGATCATGACAACCACATCCGTCATCTCTGCCTTCCAAGCCAATCAACAGACCCTAGTCAGTCTGTCATTCCAACGAGGCCACCAGACCTATAGTGTCTGTCAAACTAGTCAAAGGGCCCCCCAATGTCTCTTACCTCAAACCGAAGCCCCAAACCTGTCATCACCCCAAAACAGATAACCAGCACTTTGGTCTCTCTAACCCCAAACTGGACAATTGGTCTGTGCCCCTGACACCCCAAATGAGAAGACCATGAGTTTCAGACACCCCAATGGAATCCACCAGACCCCCAATTTCTGTTGCTCCAAACTAGTCACCAAACATTCACCCTTTATCCCAAAACCTTAAAATGCTGGAGTCCTAGCAACTAGATACCATCTGTCTCCCCAAACTAGACCTTAAAATCCCAGCCCCCATCACCCCAACAAGGACCCCCATCTCTGACAGCGAGAACAACCCCAGTCCTGGTTTCTCCCAACCAGACAAAAGAGTCCCTAATTTGTCACTTACCATTTGGAACTAGACCTACTGTGTTGGTTCCTAACCCTAAACTACACAAGTAGACAGTCCCCAAACTTTAAAAATGCAACTCCCTGGTCGGGGACACCTCACACTAGCCAGTAAGACTCCTCCATCGGTGTTGTCCCAAGTTACACAGCAGGACCCCCAGGCTCCGGGTCTCCAGACTAAACCACATGGCCTCTCTCTGTGGCTGTAAAGGAGACAAGAGACCCCCAGCATGTCACCTCCAGCCAAGGGGACACCTACCTTGTCCTCCCAAACCAGGGTCCTAGACTCCCAAAGTCATGCCCCCAAACTTGCCACCTAGATACCACACCCTTTTTCTATCGCCTGAAGCTGGGTAAATGACCACTTGTCTCTGTCACCTCGAAGCTGATAACAGATCCTCTGTTTTTCTGTTACCCTAAACTGGAAACTGTCACCCCAAAATAAGACTACTAGAGGCCCCAACTGACATGTAAAATGAGGTGTAGGTACCCCCTGGCTCTGTCACCCTGTACTAGACAATGACTTTAAAAAAAAAAAAAAAAAGATTTATTTATTTATTTGAGAGAGAGAGAGAGATGGTTGAGGGAGCCTAAGTTGGGGGAGGGGCAGAGGGAGAGAGAGAAGCTCAAGAAGACTCCCCACTGAGCGTGGAGCTGGACAAGGGCCAATCTCATGACCGTGAGATCATGACCTGAGCCAAAATCAAGAGTTGAATACTTAACCGACTGATCCCCTCAGGTGCCCCTGTACTAGACAATTAGATCCCTGTCCCTGTCACACCAAACCTGGACCCACAGGCTCTTTAATAACGAAGTCAACAACCAGGCTCCCAGTTTGTCACTCCCAACCAGCCAACTGGACTCCCAGGATCTGTCACCAAAACAGACGACCAGACTTTTGTCCCCTTGATGAGACACCGAGCCTTTGTTTTCATTGCCCCAATCCAAACCTCACAACCCAAGATCATTCAGGAGGGAGGCACAGGGAATGGGCCTCCAGTCTTGACCACCCCCATGGAAACTTCTGGTTTGAGGCATCTCAAAAACCCGACATCAGAATTAGGGACCTGTAGTTAATCACCCCCAGATTAGGCCTCTGGACTGTCTCTCAACCTCCACCATCACCCCACAACCCCAGGCTGCTGACCACTTGCCTCATGGCCTCAGTCCTGGTCCTTGGGCCCCTGGCCTTATCACCTCCAAACAAGGCAGCCTGACCACCTTTCCCAGGTTCAGCAGTGTAAATGGGACATAGTGACTGCCCACCTTGTGGGCATGAAGACCGTCTCCCTGGGGAGCACCGGCATCTCCATCAGTAGATGAAATGCCCTCTACAACCCCAGAAGTGGGATTGGGAGCAGGCCGTGTTGTAGACCGGGGGCGTGTCTGGGCCTGGGGCTCTTAGGTTTTATCTCCCACAAGTCCGGCTGCAGACTCTCTCTCCCTGGAGAAGATCTGCAGGAAGCACTTTTCCGCCCTCGGGTGGCAGCCACTGGAAGCACACCCCTGGTGACCGGCACCATTGTGGGCCCCAGCGCCCAGGTACGTGGGGCTCATCCTTGCCTGCTCCCTCCCACTCAGTTCCTAAGCACATCAGTCATTAAGCTCCTTGTTCTGAATTTGTCTTCCCTGTCCCTACTCTCCACTCCATGTCCCTGCCTCATCCTCCCTGGCCCCATTCCCTTTAGCCCATCCCCATACAGAATCCCAAAGGGGGATTTCTGAAATTCACACCTGGCCCTGTCCCCACACTGTTCAACACCCTTCCATAGTCCATGTTACCTTAAGCTAAAATCCAAAGACTTTCTCAATGGCTTGCAGGTCCTGTGTGATCTGGTTCCAACGTCCTCCCCACCACCATCTCCTACAGCTGTTCCCTTCACTCCCTTCACCCAGCCACAAGTGCTGCCTTGTCACTGAGCAGGTCCCACCCCAGGGCCTTTGCACTTGCTGTTCTCTCTGGCTGGAATACTCTTCTCCTGGCCTTCCAAGGAGTAATTTCCTCATCCCAGGAAGGCCCTTCCTTGCCATTCTGAGTGAGCCCTCTCCTTCCACGATTCTCTAGCCTTACCCAATCCCATTTACTGGCTTCACAAGCTTTTCATTTTCTGAGTTTTCTGCTTGCTGGGTGTTTGGTTCATATATCACATGTTCCTCTCCCACCGAATGTGAGCCGGAAGAGGGCAGGGTCTCATCTGTTTGTGGGGCTCTTTGCCCAGTGTGCCCCAGTGTCCTGGAGACTCAGGGTACAACCCACAGATGACACTCTATATTTTCTACCCAATCACATTTTCAAAAGTGAAGGAAAAAAGTGGAAATAATAAATTTACCTGGAGGTTGACTGGATGGCTCAGTCCACAAAGCATCCAACTCTTGATTTCGGCTCAGGTCATGATCTCAGGGTCCTGGGATTGAGTCCCGCGTCGGGCTCCCTGCTCCATGGGGAGCCTGCTTCTCCCTCTATGCTCTAATACATACATCTTTAAAAAAATGAATCTTTTAAGAATAATAATAATCTTACTTAGTACCTATTCAATGTACTACCCTTCCAACATATAACCAGTACAGAAAATTATTAGTGAGACATTACACTGTTTCTTGGTAAGTGTTTGGAATCTGGTGTGGATTTAACCCTTGAGGCACATCTCAGTTGGGGCCAACGCGTTTCAAGGGCTCTGTTGCCACAGGAGGCAGAAGGATTTCGGAGCAACACCGAGGACTCTGTGGACGCTCCATAAAGTGCCTGCTCCATGATCGGTGAGTGGGTGAGTTTTGGGGATGATTGGCGAGGCCAAGGAGGCGAAGGGACCTCGTTGCAAGGTGTTGGCACTGTGGCCCAGCTGAGGCCGCCTGCCCACCACTCTCTCTGTGGCCTGCCTCCATGTCCCTCTGGGTTCCCTGAAATGTCATCTCCTCGGAGAGCCCGCCACCCTGCTTTGTTGTCCTATCTTGTCCAGTGTTCTCCCAGTCAGGCACGGTCCCACACAGCAGACTCTGGACATTACGGTAAAAGGCAGGGCTCGTCCCTTCCATCTCACTCAGGGGAGAACCAAAGACCTCACAGAAGCCTGTCCGTCCTCCACACTTCCCCATGAGTCCTCCACAGCCGCCTGGGCCTCCTCGCAGCGCCCTCCGCCCAGAATGCTTCCCTCCTGAGGATCTGCAACTGCTCCTTCACTCAGCTGCAGGGCCTCGGGGAGGCCTTCCTTCACCTGCACCTCAGCTCCAGAACTTTCTCTGTGCAGGACAGTTAACGCAGGGGGCCGTCCTAGAGAAGGCTGCTGGCGTGGTTGAATCCTGGCTGGTGTCTGGGAACGTGGATTCCAGGAGGCGGCTCCCCAGTGTCCTCAGTACAAATGACTCAGTGTCTATACTTGTTCGTGCAGATGATACTGTTTATGCTGAACACCTGCCTTCCTTTCTGGGAGTGTGGAATTTCCCTAAGTGCCAGACAAAGGGTGCTTATGGGGTCACTTCCCTGCAGAGGCCGGGCACTGAGTCTCTCCTGAGCCTCCCTGGCAGCCGCCCTCACCGCAGCTGCAGGAATGGAGCACAGGGTGTGGGAGGCCCCCAGGAGGACGCTGGGAAGCTTGCACCTGGCTTTCTCTCGACTGCCTCACGGGCCTTTCCCCTTCCCTGGTTTTGCTTTGTAGCCTTTCATGATCATGAATTACAGCTGTAGGTCCAACTGTCTAGTCCTTCTAGCAATTCACTGAATGGGGGGGCAGTCTGGGGCACTCCGGCTCACCCCCCCCAGCACTTACCACCATTTGCCATCCAATCTTGTATTTTAAAAAGTGTTTGTTTATTTATTTAAAGTAGGCTCCATGGCCGGTGTGGAGCCCAACTAGGGGCTTGAACTCACAACGCTGAGATCAAGACCAGAGCTGAGATCAAGAGTTGGGCCCTTAACCGACGGAGCCATGCAGAAGCCCCATCCTCTCCTTTTTAGCCCTTCATCTTGCTTATCAAGCACCCCCATCCAGAGGACCCCTCCATCTGGGTCTCTGCAGTCCCCCACACTCCTGCACAGGCCGACAGAAGACCCTGGGAGAGTATCTGCTGAATTACAGCTGTAACAGTTTTATTTCCACAGCTGGAATCCCCCCCCCCCCCCCCCCCCCCCCCCCGGGGCTTGGGATGGCAAGGAGGCCTTTGACCAGGAGCACGGGGCGGTGCGGGGCAGGGGCAGTGCGGGGCAGAGGAGAGCAGGGCGGGGGCGAGTGGGGCCAAGGCAGCGGGCTCAGGAGGCTGGAGGGTCCCCCTCACACAGGCTCCATCTGCAGCTCTTCCCCATCCACAGCCTCGGTCTGGTGGAAGGCGGCATGGGAGCCGATCACCACGAGGGTGGCTCCTGCAGGGAGACAGGCAGTTCAGGGCGTCACTCCTTCACCTGCTCCCCACTGCCTGCCCGCCCACCCGGGCATCCCAGAGCCTGTACTCACCCAGGACCCAGAAGACGGCAGAACCTGCACCGGCCAGCCAGAAGAAGGGGAAGGAGATGCCCCCAGCCAGAGCATACTGATGGGCTGGGGTTACCTCTCGGCCTGGGGGTGCAGATGGCATTGGGGCTGCTGTTCCAACACTCATATCTTCTCCCCAAGGAACCCCCGATAGCCCACCAACAGTCTGGTGTTAACAAGCTCTGGGAGCCTCAGGATCGTCCTCATGCCAAGGCCCCCTAGCCTGGGTCTCACCCGTTTCTGATGTTCCCACTGCCCACCCGAACAGAGCACCTTCCTTACCAAACCGCCCACCCCAACCATGCTCACTGCCCTTCAGCCCCACTTCTGCTAGGAAGCTCCCCACGTCCCACTCCCCCAGACTACAGCTCTCCTGCTCCCATCCCGACTCACATACACAAGGAGTCTCAAACAGGTCACCCAAAGGCCAAGTCTGATCTGTGGATGTGTTTTTTGAGTCTGTACAATATTCCCCAAGAATCTGATTTGGGGCTGTTGGACTGAGCGATTTCACATAAGAATATAGAGTTCTGGCTTGGGGCAGACTGGAGCATAGGGTCTCATGCTCCAGGCGCTCCCTCCATGCCCTGTGCCTGCCTGACATGCCCTCAGGTGCCAGCCCACCCGTGTCACCGACAGAACAGACAAGCCTCTGAAGGACCCTGACTTGGGTTTTCCTGCTTGACCCCAGCTCTTCCATATCGCCACTCTGAACCTTGAGCTTCCCCTGGGTGGAGACGCAGGCCCCTCTTTCTTCCCAGTGGTACCGAGGGCCAGTCTGGGACCACAGGAGCCACAAACTTCGGTTTCCCTCTTGGAACAGTCCCAAGATCTTTCTGGCCCCGCCCCTGGCAGCTGGAAAGGACAGGGGCCCAGATCTGGGCCAGGGTAAGGTCGCCACCTGGTGTCCAGTGTGGGTACCTGCAACTGATGCTTTCCGCGGAGAGGCGAGGGAGGATGGATGGATGCGAGGAAAAGGAGGTTTAAAAGGACAGGAGCCAGGTGAAGAGTTGGTTCTGGGGTATCTCTAGCTTTGAGAATACCAAATGGAGGGGGGGCTCCGAGACTGGGTGTGAGCACCTGGTGTGTCTGAGATTTTAAAGGATGGAATTAGGGGGAACCAGTGTAAATCTATGCTTGGGCAGACTGGGGTCTGGGGTTTAAGGCTTGTGTTCCAAGACCAGGATTTGAAGGATCAGGGAACCGTCTGGACAGGGGCTTTCTCACCAAAAAGCACAAACTTGGACTGCAACGTGCGCAGATAGAGGATGTAGCAGGCGCCAAAGAAAACTGCCAGAGCCACCAGCAGCATGGGGGACGTCACCCTGGAGAAGGGTAGGGAGGCATTGGTCAGGCGGCTGACTACCTACACCGGAGGATAGCAGGCTAAGTCCTTGAGGCCAGGCAAGACCAGGTCACATACGGTCACACTGTGTCCCGGCCAGGCTGATGGGGCAGTACGAGCCGGGCCCTTAGGTGAAAAGGTCTGGCCGAGCCGTGCAATGGGGGCGGGGACGACCAGCGCGGGCTGGGCTCTCAGGTGGGGGCGCGGCCCGGCCCTGCCCAAGGGGTTCAGTGCGGAGCGGGCGAGGCACTCACACACAGTAGAGGATGAGGCCCAGGAACACGAACACGTAGTTGCTCTGGTAGTACTCCACGTTGCGAACGAGGCGCTGGCACAGCTCGCCCAGGTTGCGGGGCCGCGAGAAGCGCCGCTGGTCCACGAAGGAGCCCCAGGGCCGGATGGTCGCGCGGCGCCGCTCCAGCCACTCACGGCCCGCGCCGGACGGGATCAGTTTCGGCAGCAGGGTCCTGGTGTGCAGCCCCGGGTCAGCCGTAGACCGGGGTTGAGCCCGGATCCCCCAACTCCCCACCCCCCGAGCAAGAAGGGGGCCGGGAGGGCTGGACTCTGGGGCCCTGAGGGGAAAGGGTCCAAGCTTCCTGAATGCCGAAGGAGTAGGGGGCGGAGGGTCCAGACTCCAGAGTTCTCGAATTGGAGACCAGGAGCTCAGACTCTAGTGGCTGAGGCCCGAATTCCCGGGACCCGAAGGAGGAGGGGGCGGAGGGCCAGGGCTCCCGGGTTTAGGTCGGGGTGGGGCGGCTAGAGCCGGCTTCTCACGTGGCGCTCAGCCCTTCCGGCTCGGAATCCCTCTGTTGGTCCTTCTCGGTCGCCATGTCTGCGTCCTGAGGGGTAGAACCGCTATAACGATCCCCGCGCCCTGCAGACCCCCGCGGCCCCGCCCGAGCCTGGCCCCACCCAGCGGAGCCGACGTGGCGACGCCGTTCTGGAGCCGCCGGGGGCGGTGGATCCGCCGCCGAGCACTGTGGGAGTTGTAGTCCTCATGATGTTACGGAGGGTCTGGCTCGTGAAACACCTAGGGAGACGCAGTCGCGTAAAGTAACGCTAAGCCCCTCTGGGTATTGTGGGAATTGTAGTTCCAGAAGCGGGGCGGGTGGTGGTCAGGAGTCGGGGTGTCCTAGGAGATCTAAAGGCAGAAGCAGTCGTCCTGTACTCCCTCCCCTGCAGAGTACAATGGGGCTCGTGGGGAACTGTCGTCCTGACTCGGGTGCATAAAAAACACCGGGGGGTGCCTGGGTGGCTCAGTGGATTAAGGCCTCCCTCTGCCTTCGGCTCGGGTCATGGTCCCAGGGTCCTGGGATCGAGTCCCGCGTCGGTCTCTCCGCTCGGCGGGGAGCCTGCTTACCCCTCCCCTCTCTTTCTGCCTGCCTCTCTGCCTACTTGTGATCTCTGTCTGTCAAATTAATAAATAAAGTCTTAAAAAAAAAAAAAAACCACCGGGGTGGGGCCCATTAATCTGCATTCCTAACAAGTTCCTAGGTCATGCTGATGCTACTGGTCCACGGACCGCGTTTTGAATGGCGAGACTGTAGATAATTTGTGGAAATCTATTCCTTTCTGGAGGCAGAGGCTAATGACAGGGCCATGGTTGCTGGAGGAGTATCTGAGGTGGAGTGCAAAGCTCCCCCCACATACCCTTGAGCGCCCAGGGATGGAGGGGTTAGGACTAGGGACCTTGGGATACACCCCCGCCCCTCAGATAGGAAGAGGGGAGTTGGGAAAGGGTTGAGAATTTATTTATGTATTGGCTGGGGTGGGTGGGCGTGGGTGGCAGGGCAGAGGGGGAGGGAGAGAATTTCAAGCAGGCTCCACGCCCTATGCGGAGCCCAGTGTGGCTCCGTCTCGGGACCTCAAGATCCTGACCTAAGCCAAAATCAAGAGCCAGGTGCTCAACTGACTGGGCCACTCAGGTGCCCTCAGGTTTGAGAATTTTTGAAAGAGGGATTTGTTATAACTGAAAGAACTGGGATTCTGGAGTCAGAGATGAAAAAACCTAGGCTGTGATGATCTCCCCGAACCTCAGTGTCATCATCAGGACCCTGGAAACCCTCATAGTACCCCACTCATGGGTTATGATGATTCAGTTAAATGGTCCATATATAGTGCTCAGAGGGGTCTTGATACCTGATATTCTTCAATAAATGGTAGTTGATGTTATTGCCATTACATCACAAATGCTTTGATTATATCTAGAGTTACACCTTCTAAAAAAATTATTTTAAGTAATCTGCATACCCAATGTGGGACTCAAACTCACAACCCCAAGATCAAGAGTCCCACGTTCTGCCAGCTGAGCCAGCCAGGTGCCCCTCACCTTCCTAAATGTAACAACAATGTTAGGAACTGCTGGCCCCTTGGATGTCCCAAGGCATGGCTGGCGTCTGAGCCATGGGCTTTTCTTTTCCCTGGTTCCCACAGCCATGGCTCCCTCTCAGTTCTTGCCCCTGCCCCTGAGTGAGTAGTGGGTAAATGGCCAGAATTCTAACAGGGTGCACCAGAAGAGCCTCAAGAAATGGGTGTATGGAAGTATCAGGAAGCCTGGGCTCCCTTACCTGGACTAAAGTTTCAGGGCTGGGTGGGACAGTTGAATACCCCCGTGGAATATCCAGGGGACTCTTAACCCCAGCTGTCTTCTGAGACCCATCTCCCTTCTGGTTTGGGCTATGAGGCCTGCTAGTGGGCGTTCCCATGAGGTGGGGGAGGCAGCCTCTGCCATAGGGGCTGGTACAGCAGTAGGCAGGGAGGCCCCCCTGTGTGGGAAGGTCCCAAGCCAAAGCTGAATGAGCCAGAGTTTGAAGATCAGATTGGCTCAGTCCTGTTTATTTCCCCTTTGTCACCCCCAGGCCTTTAGTGGAATCTTGTTCAGGCTTCCCACTTGGGTCTAGCTAGTTTCTGGAAATCAAAGGAGGACTGTGAGTGCACAATTAGCCCAGAGCATTAATGGGGGAGCAGCACCTGAGTTCAAAGCGATGGGGGCAGCAGAGGTGAGAAGAGCCCCCAAGAGGGAGATGAATCTTGGGGAACGGAGAGTGGGAGACCTCCTCCTACAGCCAACCTTGGGGAATTTGGGTTTGCTTTTGTTAGGAGAGCTGGTTGGGTTTCTTTATAGGAGGTGCTGAGCAGTATGGGCTTTGGACAGTGGTGTCCAGAGCAAGGATATTGTGGGGAGCAGCCTTCTGAGTGGGGTGTGGGGATCTCTGAATCAGGGGATCTCAGGAGATGGGGCCTCGGCATAGGGACAATGTGGGAGAGGAGCCCCTTGAAACCAGGATTGTGGGAGAGATGGGAGGGTCCTTGAGGCAGGGGATGGTAGGAGATGGCAGGGAGAGGGGGCCTAAGGCAGGTGGGCCCTGAATTAGGGGGATGGTGGGAGATAGGGGGGCCCCTGAAAAGTCTGTGGGAGATGGGCTCTGACCCTGTGCTCCCTCCAGTCTGAGGCCTCCTTCCTGCCTCTTGGATCCCTGGAGGAAGTGGAGCTGGGAATGTAGGAGGACCTCAGCACAGACAATCAGAAACCGGGCTTGTGTCTCTGCTGTGTGACTTCAGGGAAGTCCCTGCCCTCTCTGGACCTTGGCTGTCTATGGGAGTACAGGTTGCCCCCAGTATCCCAAACGGAGTGTTCCTAGGAAAACTGCCGTAAGCCAAAATGGGGTAAAGCAAAGAGTAGCCCCACTTTCCAGAAGTTCATGCCACTTCACTTTGATAAAAGACCTACATTAGCACCCGTTTTCGCTAAATGAAAGAAATCCCAAGAGGATTTTCACTTTTCCGAAAAAGGCCATTGGGCACTAATGTAGGTCAATGTAATTGTCGGGTACGGTGGGCGTGTGCACACACTCACACTCACGTCTTGGGGTTGGTCAGAAAGTCGGCCTGGAGCCAAGAGCTGCCGCAGCACAGCCAGGAGGGCTGGAAGTCAAGCTCCCGACAACAGCCGGTGGGAATGCGGGATGACCCGAGAGCTCTGGGAAGGGTGTGGCCAGCTTCTATTAAAGCAAAACACAGCCTGTGCCACCCGCAGCCATCCCTCTCCTAAGCATGAGCCCAACAGAGACGCATACACGAGTCGTCGGAGGACACTGTTAGAAAGGTCCTAAAGCAACCGATACGTGGGACAATGTGGGTGACTCTCACAGGGGTGCTGAGGACAAGAAGCCAGACACACGTGACCACGTGCTTGTAGGATTTCAATACACGAAGTCCCAGAACAGGTGCAACTAAAGGATGACGACAGAAATCAGAGCAGCCTCTGGTGGGGGAGGGGCGCTGGCGAGAAAGGGGCACGAAGGAACTTTCTGGGTGGGTGGAAATGTTCAGTACTTTGATCTGGATGGTGGTTATGTACTGTAGGTTTTTTTTTTTTTAAGATTTTATTTATTTATTTGACAGAGAGAGATCACAAGTAGGCAGAGAGGCAAGCAGAGAGAGAGGGGGGAAGCAGGCTCCCCGCTGAGCAGAGAGCCCGATGTGGGGCTCGATCCCAGGACTGGGATCAGGACCTGAGCCGAAGGCAGAGGCTTTAACCCACTTAGCCACCCAGGCACGCCCCCCTTTTTTTTAAAGTAGGCTAGAGCTCGAACTCATGACCCCAAGATCAAGACCTGAGCTGAGCTCAAAAGTCTGATGCTTGACCAACTGTGCCACCCAGGTGCCCACAATGTCATCTTAAAAACCATTGAGCTGTGCCTTGTGCCTTTAAGATTTTGCACTTCACTGAAAGTTTACCTCAAAAAAAAAAAAAAAAAAGAGCGAGAGAAGAACACAGCACTTAAAGGTTGGACAACTCAGGGCACTCAGTGAATCACCATCATCACCACTGTCTTCTTTGTCACCAACATTGTCCCCCTCCCTTCCCCTTTGAGTTTGACTCTCTTCCTCTGCCCTGTTCTGATCCCATAATCCCACTGCCCAGTGATTTGAAGCTGCTCTCGCTGTAACCTCAGTTGGGTCTAAACCCCAATGACTTGGTGACTCCGTGATTCTGTGGCTCCTGGGGTTGTGTGGGTCACCGGCCATGGATGCCAGCGCCGGGGAAGCCACCCACCCCCACCCTCAGGGTCAGAAACCAAGCACAACGCACACATGCTTCTCTCTCCCCACTGATATATTTGATAATTGTCCAGAACCAGAGATGGCGTCAGCCGGGGGTGAGGGGGAGTAAAAAAGAGCCCAGGGAGGGGGCGCAGAGGGGACGGGGAGGAAGAGGAGAGGGAGAGGAACAGTGACACAGAAAAGAGAGGGGGGAGAGGGGGGCCGGGAGGGGTTGGAGAGAGAAGCCAGCCAGAGGGGGGTCGGTGGGGAGGCAGGAGATAAATTGAGGGGGTAGGGGCCAAGGTGGGGCCATGGGGAGAGAGGGCCCCTCCCCCAGAATACAAAATGGGGGGACTGGTGGGGGCTGTCCTGGGCTTGGGGGGCAGGGAAGAGATGGGCGATGTGTGGGGGGGGTGAGGTCAGTAGTAGGTTTCCTTCTCCACCCAACCTGGAGACAAAGAGAGAGAAAGAGAAAGAGACATGGAGAAGGGCGCAGGACAGAGACCAAGAGGAGGGGGACCGTAGAGCCAGGAAGAGAGGAGGAGGGACTTGGGGGAGACAGAGAGGTTGGCACAGCGCTCTGCCCCCCGCCCCCCAACTGCACCCCTGCCCCCCCAGTCTCGCCCCACAGCCGGGGAGCCCCCTCACCCCCGGGGTTCCTGCGCAGGATAAGTTTGCGGATCTCGTCGTAGACGAAGATGAGGAAACTGTAGGGGAAGGCACAGAACCACCAGCTGGGCCTGCAGAGACAGGAGAGCAGGGGGTTGTGGGTGAGGGGCCATTCTGGGGGACACAGAGGCCAAGTCTGGAGAACAGGAAGGCCGCCCTGGGGGATGGGAATTCTCCCTCATCCTCTGGCTGAAG